ACAGGTATTTTGAACCAACACTGATGTCTGACCAGCATACCCACAATTCAGACTTCCCTTCCCATTTGCCCAATTTATTGCAACCTGCGTGTCAGTGTTAGCAGATGACGCTCAGGCTCGCTCTTCACATCCCTCTCTGATGGGTTTCACTAATGCCTATTGATCGGCTGAGTAGGATGAATCTGCTCCCTTAACTAATTATTAAGTGCTCTCAGCCTACTTTATTGGTGCTTTCAAGAAGGTCCGTGGAGTGAGTTGAGAAGCAAAGCCCTCTTCTGCCTTTTTTTTTTTTTTTTACATTCATCTGGGTGAGGGGGAAGCATCCTCTTCCTTTTTATTGTTTCGTCTGCTTCATGTTCATAGCCTCTTTCTTTTTCTTTTTTTTTTTTTTCAAGCTTATGCCAGTGGTCTCTTGTAAAACTCGTACTTGTGAGCTCTTCCACAGTGTTTACTTGACTTTGTTGAACTTGTCACTCTTTTTCAACAAAAGGAATCGGATAAAAGAAGGGTCAGAGAAAGCAAAGGTTGCGGGAGCTTTTGGTTGACTGTGACACCTTGTAGTGATTGGCAGCTTATGTAACATGATTGATAGAAAATACAGGGAATAAAAGTGCTGGAATGCAGCAGGAATGCACGAATGACCAAAGAAACAAATCTCAAGTGGTATTATCCTTTGTTTTGGCATTAAGTGTTCTATTGAGCAGTTACTAAATTTCATATTACTTCGTTTTCTTTTTTTAATCTTCTTTTTGCTAAAGCTTTTAAAAAAATAAATAAATATAGGGATATTAAGATAAGAATGCAAAGAATTACAAGTTCATTTATATTTGTATCACTTACAATGCACCATGTGAGCTGAGCCTCTGTCTCCAGGCAGAAGGAGAACAAGTCCCAAAACAGAAGCAGAGAAACTGGAAAGATTTAATTAAATTAACAGGGTAAAAACATGGGGCTGAATATCAGTGGCACAAAGGAAAACTGATTCATCTGATTCTGTGATTTATGTGATTCTCCCTATATCTCTTAATCTGTCACCCTCACTCCCATGTGCTGTTTTCCACTAGGATCATTGGTTTTGTTATACTATCTCTGATTCTGAGCTGGGCCTCACTGGGAGTTGACACTGCTACAGCTGTGGTAAGAAAACTATACTTCTGCTACTTCTGAAGTACACTTCAAACTTTGATTAGAAATATTGAAATTAGACTGTTGGGGTTCTAAATAAACCCCAAACAAGTGCCTGCCAGTAAAACTGGACAATACATGAACATCTTAGCAGCTTAAAAAGTGTCTGTGTCTGTTTGTCTAGATTACAATGGCTCGCTTTCCAAGGTCACCCAGGCAGTAAAGCTGATTACACATCCTTAGTCTTTTAGGTCCATCATCCCTTAGCCTTCCTGTAAACCAAGAACTTTTGTTCCTTTAATTGCTGCCTCTGCTTTCTTCAGAATCTCTTTTGTGATCGTCCAAAGTTTCATTTTATCTTTCAGGCTCCCCTTATTTCTGAAAGATTGTTCTCTCTTCCTGGTTGTACACCATGTGTTCGGAGCATCTGGACTTGGTGTGTTTAATGGTGCTCTTATTAGGGACAGTGTCTGGGGTACAAAAAAAAAATAATAACCCGTTTGTTCCAGCATTCCTCCATCCCCCACGCCGAGAAACCAAACATCTGTGGATTATCCTGCTGGATCTGACATCTGGACAGCTGTTTTAAGTGAGGCAGTAAAAGAGAGGGTGAAACAGAGCGGGGAAGATAGCATATTTTAACCTGAAATTAACTACATGTGTGCGATTCACAGACATCTGTGGTTCTCTGTGAGCTTCTCTGCAGATGTAAAGCCAAATGTGCGAAATCCTGGACAGCGTCTGTTGCTTTGCTCCCCTCATTATAGTTGAAAAAGGACTCTGCAGTAAAACTTCTGACCTTTCAGGCTTAACGCTTGTTGTTCTAGCATGCAGCTCTCCCTCCAACTCTGTTTTGTCTTAAGTTGAGGTACTCTCAATGCAATCTGTGACTAGGAAACTATAACTCTTGTTATAGGAAATCTAGTCACAGTTGTTTATCAAAAAACAGTCTTGAATGATTGAAGCTGAAATGTAGGACAGCATGCAAAGCAAGCTAGAAAACATATTGCACCTGCACATCATTATTAAAAAAAAAGAGAGAGAAAAACCTGCATGTGCAAAAACACAGTGCATTTTGAAAGGAAGGTGGATGATGGTTGTGTCCTAGAAAATATTCATAAATTTATACATATTTGATGAGGCTTAGCATAAACAAAATGTCCCCGATAGTATAATGAGATAACGGTGCCTCACATGGTGCTGTACGGTTTTTGCAGAAAACAAAGTCACATGATCACAGTTGAGTTAAGGGTGTGTTGAACATCTGAAAGTAAAATGGGGTAAGTAGAAAGGCTAGAACAGGAAGTAGAACTGATTTTTGTGTAAGCCTAAGTTTTTCTTTCTTTTTTTATTTGTAATTTCATACTGTACTGTTTAACTTTTGATTGGCTATTGTCTTTTGAGTTATCATTTACATTGAGAAGCTCTAGAAATACTTTTCTTTATTGGAGATGTCATAAAATAAGAACGGATATAAAACTGATGTTGGATCCTTCACCATAACAGATTCTTTGTTCTCTTTTAACTTAATAAATTTAAAGAGTATCTTGTTTCCCCAGCTGTGAATTATCCATGCATATGACAAAGCATTCTGGTTATTTTTTGTTATATTTGCTTTTTTTATAATAGCTTTGTGTGGGTTATTTTATGTTCTGGGTACTAAGTGTACAGCAATTGCATGATCTTGACCCCTAACTGTTTATGCATGCACATTAGCAGCTCTCTGGGGAAGAATTAAAACGCGTGGAAATATTTAGTAGATTTCACCCATGGTCAGCAAAGTGTGACATGCTCTACACGGTCAATGATGTTTAAAGTCTGTTCCTATACCACACAGTTTTTGCACTTTATATGTGCTTCCTGGTGTATATAATAGGAGGTTGGTTTTTTTTCCCTTTTTTTTCCTACAGGGTATAAGTGACTTTTGTGTGTCTCCAGACAAGTTTATTGTCAACCATACCAAGGATTTTCTAAGTGCAGGTAATTAATGTCCACAGACAGATTTGTACTGAAAACATCTCTCTGTCAATGGCTGTTTAAACAAAATGCTAATCTTTCTATTTCTTTCACCTTCTAGATGTTGCACACTATTATTTGTTTTGCAGTCCGAATCTACCAAACCCGTTTCAACAGGTACTGACTAAAAGTCCAATCTTAGCTTTGTGTTAGCACACTGCAGACTCTTATTATTCATTTATTTACCATTAGATGCCAAGCATCTATATCTTTTTGGAGGCCAAAGTGAGCCTGATTTAATCATGCAAAATGCTAAAGTTTGATAAAGTATGCTTCTTTTTGTATAGGTGTATAAAAACTATCTGCATCTTATACCCTGTGCAAAGTTTTTTCCCCTGGTACTCCTGCTAGAAACATTTTTATTCAATTTTCTGACATCCTGCATTAAGCCAGCCGCTCTTCATAGAGCACTCAAGTTGTGTTGGTTTATTTTTGAGTTTAAATATATAAATCATCATTTTTTGTTTGTATGCCTTTTCAAAGAAACATTGAGAACCTTTTGCATGTTCCAAACAAGCTAATTATTGGTGTCTGAAATGCAGATAAATTGTTTTCTGAAGAGAAACTGCAGAAAGACAGCTGTCATACAGTCTCAATAAAACCAGTTTGAATAACACAACCTTGGCACTTAACTCCTGCTATTCAGAACTCACTTAGACATATAGCCTCGTCTAATAAACATCCATCCATGTTTGGCTCTCTGTGTGTTTTCTTTTGCTTTAATTGTGAATCTGATGCCCAGATTCAAGTTATATCCATTTTCCTGTCACACACACTTTCCTGGCAACATTTCAGAGAATTTAGTGCTTCTTCTTAAGTTTTGTATTATTTGTATAGTCTGAGGATTTCTTTTGCATGAGTGATTCTGCATCTGTGTGACATCTATTCACTGATTTTTGTGGAGGATAAATACATGACCAGTAGTTATTACATGCATTACATGCTTGGTTATCATCGTACCCATTTATGGATTAAACTGATGCTTGTTAAGTAGGTAAGGATGATCCTTTCTCTGATGGCCTAGTTGGTATAAATATTACTCTTTTGTTTGTGCTATGGGTTGGTGGTGCTAATGGGAGGTGGGAGAGTGGTGGGCGAGACGGTTGGTGGCAAAAGATAATCTGTCTGGAAACAAATGTGTCCTCTGTTAAGCACATGATAAAGCCTTACTTAACACCAAATTACTTGTTGACATGCTGCTCTTAAACAATACCCTCCTTATTAAGATCCTCTTATTGTTTGTGGTGGATATCTATGTGTGTGATGCTGGAGTGATTATGTTTTCCCAGTCTTTGACAACTTGCCAGCGCTCCCTGACTACCATGCAAATCCAGATTCAAGGCTTGCTGCAGTTCTCTGTGCGGGTCTTTCCCACTGCTGAGGTACGCAGCTGGCTAACAGACTTTCACACTAGACTGTGGAAATGTGTGTATCATCTTCTCCCCTTTTATACCTTGTTGTACAGAGAGACCTTTTGGGAATCCAACGACTATTAAACTCAACAGAGTTCAGTCTACACAAGCTAACAGCCTTGCTGGACTGCCGTGGGCTACATAAGGTAAGGTCAGATTCTGACCAGGACACTTTTTAATGGGACTGCTTTGTAGCGTAGCTCAAAGCCACTCAGAGGGCCAGCTTGACTGATTTTTCCGAACGTTATCTCTATGTACTTCACATACGCTGACATTTATATACACCACTCAAATTGTCAGTCACCGCGTATGTAACAGACCGACTATTTGCCGCCTCCAGTTTTTCCAGACTGAAAAAGGAATGAAATGGCTTTTGCAGGTTTCATTTTGTCAGAGTTTTATCATTTAATGAAAATAGCATCTCATCTGCTGTGATACGAGTCTGCTGTGGTAATGGGAACCCAAGAAGCAGGTTTCTGGATCAGCAGAGTCTCTGGTAATTCTATTAAATCCTTCCTATCAGAGATTAAACAAATCCATAAAGATAAGCTAAGATATTAGGGCTGCCTTATTGTTAGATCAGGTTCAGATTGGGGACTTACTCAAAATGATGGTTAATGGAGGGCTACAAACATTCCATAGTTATGTGTAATGAACATCAGTAATGAGGATCCGCAAATATAGGCTTATGCAGTAACTGAGTACACATGCCAGACAAATTCAAAGACTGTTTCTCAGAGCTTGTTAGTCAAATATAACGAGCAATGCGAAATGAGAATGCATCTGTGTAATGCATATCATCAGAGTAACATGAGCTTGTCTGCGTGTCTCAGTTCTGCCTTTTGGTACCTCTGCTGTGAAATCCTGCAGCCCTACTGCCCTCCTCAGAGAGGTGGTTAAATTTCAGATTCAGTTGTAACATTGTTCATGGTCTAAACATAGACATAATCTGGCCTTTTTAAGGAATTTAATATTATTTGCACAGGTGTCATTTGTCAAAGGTAATACAGTATGACCGCTAGTGACTCACCATATTGACTGTGTGCATGTATATATCCTTCTAGGACTATCTTGATACCCTCATGGGTGTGTGCTATGATGGGGTGGAAGGGCTCCTCTACCTCTCTTTGTTTTCTCTTCTGGCTGCCTGCGCACTCTCTGCCATGCTGTGTGTAATTTTCCGAGTGTGGACACTAATGGGCAGCAGGTCAGTGCTGAGCGACCCCGTTACCCCATTAGTAATGCCTACAGTGCACTTCTGCAAAGTGTTAACGCATGCACTCTCTCTTTCTGTCTCTGTGCGCGGGTGTACACTTTCATGCAGGGAAAAAGAGTACGATGACATAGATGAGGAGGATCCATTCAACCCCCAAGCTCGTCGGATATCCTATAACCCCCGAAGGTCCAACACGCACAGTTTCTGTAGCTATACCACAAGCCTTGGCAGCCAGGCCAGCCTTCATCCACCTCCTCAGTCAACTTCTAGTGTAATGTCACCCCCTGAATACATGTAAGTTTAATAGCAAATGATGACGCTGCTTATTTTTTTCTTGTTTTATTAAAGTATATGTTTCACCTCTGTCTAATGTCTTTCCCCTTGTTTCACAGGAATCAGTCCATGCTGTTTGGAGGAACCCCTCGGTATGAGAATGTACCACTGATAGGGAGAGGATCCCCGCCTCCCTCGGTGCGTTGGCCCTACGGGGCTCTAGTGTCCCTAGTTTAATGGCAGTGATGGCATAGTTGGCCTCAGCCCCACTACAGTACTAACAAGAAGCATGTGCCAGAAATGTAGCAATGTTGATACACTGCACAAAACCTCAACAGTTAATGAAGGGAGTTATGTTGCTCTGTAAATGATGGAAGACTGACATCTACTGGCTGTTGACTGAAGTGTGTTCATTTTTAGTGCATTACTAATCTATAACTACAGTCATATATCCTTTTTACATTTGGCGGTTTTCACTGGACTGTATTTCTGGTTCTCAAAAAGGAATAGTTTAGGTCAGATTAGAGATCTAAAGATGAAACAAGCAATACTGCCAGCTCAATCTCACATCATGTATCTATTTTTAAAGGAGGGGCCTCATAGTCTAGAAGTGCATGGTGTGCATCCAATGCTGGGGCTAAATGATAAATAATAGATAGAACACTTGTAAATCCACAGTTAAAGTCTCTGTTGGTTGGTTTTCTTTTATATTAAGTTTTCTGCTTGTGTGGCTGACTCAGTGCTTCAACAGCTTTCACAGTGTGCCAAAGACTTGAAACACCATTTGAGGTGTGAGAGCGTGAACGTGGACTATGCTCAAACCTATTCTTTCCTCTATAAATCACATTTTCAGCATGCATCAAGATGTGTTATTTGTTCCTGTTACTTAAATGTTTGCTATTTTGGAAAACATATTTGCAGTACGTTTGTTTTTCTGTTGTTATTTAATTTATTTAATTTTCTGTGACGTTTCTGTGATTTTCTTATCCTTTATATAATCAGTTTCTCAATAAGGCATCTAAATATTGAATATTAACCAATGTTTTCTACCCACCTTTTTAAAATGTCCATTCTTTGACTTATTGTTTCACTCTTGTCTGACTTAATTTGCTTGATTTTTGTATGTTTTCCCCCCTGCAAACCTTTCTAATGATGGTTGCTATATGCAAAATGTTTATAACTTGTATCTCAAAGCTCAGGGACCCTTTTAAAGCTCCATAGTACCTCAGCTTCCTGGCACTGTTTAACCCACAGAGTGTTGCATGTGAGTGTAACTTATTCTAACTTGTTATGCCCTCCTGCTTTTTAACTTCTCGCATCATTATAGTACTATCCCCTGATTCCACAACTCTTGATTAAAGACTAGCTTATAATTAAAACAGGTGTTCTGCAAGCTTAGATCTGTTAATAACATATTAATATGTCATATGCTATCAAAGGTGCTTTTTTAAAGTCCATATGTTCTAAACTGATTTTTTTCTCATGTATTTCTCTGGCAGTATTCACCCAGCATGAGAGCTACCTATCTATCCATGACTGATGCCCAGATTAGACACTTTGGGACTGATTTTCAGGTGTAGCCTGCTGTCTACTGAATCCCTTTCAGTACTTCATCTGAGATGCTAAGCTTCAACCGACAAGGCTGTCGTCACGGTATAACTCTGTTTGCAGGAGTGACAGCCCGCCGTCCCAATCTGAGACATTAAAGCAGGCAATATGAGGTAGTTGCCTCACTGACACACTAATGCAGTCCCTGGAAAGCACTGAAAGTTTTTAATATAGAGGACTGTTCAGTTTCATATGAAGGCTGTTGTTGTTGTCGTTATCATGGTTTATGGAAATACTGTTGCTCAAATGTAAGCTTTTCTATGAACCAAAATCCGCAGTCTTTGAACTCTTTTCAGTATTCTGGTGGTGTGCATGGATATAATCATCGGTCAGTATTTTGATGTAAAGTGAGTGGCTGGCTTCCATCATGGCATTTGATTTTTTTTTTTTTTTTTTTTTTTGCTTTATCCTTCTGTTTGGCAGCAATATCGTTTCTTTTTTGTCCTTTTTGTAATTTCAAAGGGTGCGATTTGAAAGGATACAGGAAAATATGAATGAGTTAATAAAACAAATACCAAGTATTATAGTTTTGTTTTCATTAGCCAAAGATGCCTTTAACAAAAAGTCAGATGGGCATAGATGATAAAATAATAACTGACTGTTATCACTATTAAAGCAAAATTGGCCATACAAGTAATTATAAAGAAACTTTGGAATGCAGAACTCAGTGCTACTAGTTAGCTTTTAAAGAATAAACTGAATATGCAAGGAACATTCTCTACTTTATTAAATAAATGTGTTATGTCTGGGTTTTTTTCATGTTTGCTAATGTGTACAGAAAGTCTCATGATTAAATGCTATATTCAGACTTGTTGATCCATTGTTTACCTATTAGCTCTCCACTGATGGCTTAGAAAGACCTGCTGCAGTAATTTCATTAGTGTGGCTGGGATTTGGTGTGATAACCTGTACCTGGAGATATAGCATGGGGCAATGGGAGTCTTAGAGGCATGGTTCTCTGTCAGCTCTTCGAAAGAGCAGACTTCTCAAGAATCAAAAAATGCACAACACACAACTGCAAACCAGTGTCCTTGAACTATTCACCTGTTTCACTTCAATATAATAAAATTGTTCTTTATGCTACAAGACTTTGACCACTTCAGAATCTTATTCTTCTATGCACCTTGGGAATAGAATAAACTGCATCAGAGATCCCTAACCTGATACATTTCTGGCTGTAGTCAGTGTTGGTGAAAAGTGTGGTCAGAAGTGTTTTCTGTAACACATTGATCGGAGAGGCTGCTGTGTCCTGCAGTGCACCTGTAAGTCTATGTAGTGTTATAAGTTGAACTGAAATAAACCAATAAACTCTTTGCAAGCTGTTGACTTAATTGGCTGGGCAGCCGCTGATCAAAACAAAAAGTGCAGATCACAGGGATTACACTATAGTAGGGATTAAGTCTTGTTTTTCCAAAGCTCTAATAGGTAAGGTTGGCTTGAACCAAATGCCTTTCATCTTGTTCCTACAGTTCCCTTCACACTGCCAAGCAATACTGATTTTTTTCTATCTATTGAAATACTATTCTTCACCTATAGTTGATGGTATACACGAAAAATATGTCTTTTTGAAGTACAGTTATTTTCCAAAGCATGTCCCTCAGCCCAGCACACTTTATTCTGCATATCATTTATGAATCACAGAAAAATGGTAGTGTTATGAGTAAGAAAAATTACATTCGGGGATGTCTATGTTACAACAGCCAAGACATTAAACTCAACCTACCACAAAACACAAATAAACTAGTAATTAGTAAAAAAAATAAAAAATAGTTTGTACAGTACTAACAACTTTAAAAGTCAATATTTGCTTTGGCCACCTTTAATCTTCAGCACAGCCTTAACTCTCTTAGGTAAGCTTTCTTGTCATTTCTTTAAGTAGTCTTCAGATCATTTCTTTGTATTATGGCTGTGTTTTGTTCTGTTCTCTGTCAAACTGATCTCACGCTGCTTCAGTGATGTTAAGGTCCGGGCACTGGGGAGCCCAGGGCATGACTGATACTGTTCCATTGTGTGTTTTCTATCCAGGTATGTGTTTGCTGTGTTTGGGATCATTTTCATGCTGAAAAATAAAGCTGCAGGCAACCAGTTCCTTTCCAGATAGTATTGCATGTTGGATCAAAATCTGATGATACTTATCTATATTCATAATTCCAACAATATCAACATTTGACAAGATCCCCCAACAACCAACACTGGCTGAAATGTAGCCCTGGATCATGATAGAGCCTCTATGTTTGACAGATGGATGCTAACTATTGTACCACTTGCCTGACCTTCTCCATACATACAGTATTGACCCAAATTTCACATTTGAGTTCATCACTCCATGAGGCCTGTTGCCAATGATTTTCAGCCTAGTTCTCATGTAATCTGGCATAACCTGATACAATAAATATACACTTTGGTATGTCACATTTTTTGTCTAATAGCTGAGAATCATTTTGGTGCAAGAATACAGTTTTATGGCTGTTTAACCGTTTTATCTTTGATATTTTTTGTAGATTCAACTAAAGAAATGGGAACTAAATGTTTTTCGCAACATACTGGTGTAACAAAAGTATCTAAAGGTGCCGTTTAAAATGTGCACTTCACGAAATGTCTCTTATGTGTAGACACAACAGCGAACTCTAATGAAAAACTTAGTCTGGCTCCTTGGAAGTAAACTAAAAATAAATAAGAGTTGTCTCTGTTTCCAAGACTTTTGCACAATATTGAGTCATTTAGAATGCTGTCCTCTTATCACATTGCTTAACCTTACTAATGTGAAATAATACAAGAGCTGTCTGTTAATTTCCTGCCTTTATGTTGAGCAAAATCTGCTATTTTTAGAGGAAACGTTTCTTGATTGCTCTCCATGGTGCTGATCCTGGAACCCCCGGAGAGGCGGAAGCTCTCCAAGGTACCAACAGTCCGGCGAGAGTGTTTAACATGTGCCCCCTATAAAATCTGCAGTTGAATTCATTTTATCATAGTAATAGGCGCAGCTGTTACCGCCCGTACCATGTCACAATATAACAGGAATGAATATCAGAACAACGAGCTCTAATAATCAAGTAATGTAACGCTTCGGATTATACGTCCTGCCTTGCTTGCCGTAGGAAACGCGGAAAACAAAAAGAACTGAGGGCATGGTGTAGTCAGTTAGCCTGTTAGCCATTTTAGGCTAATTACTATCGTACAAAATGTTTAGCAAAAAGTGATATTTTTTGTGTTGATACGGGAGAATGTGGCGGGGATGTGGCTGAATAATGGGAAACGTCTTTGGGAGAAAGAGTCGACCTTCTCGTGTAACGGAGCAGGACAAAGCCATTTTGGTGAGCTGATAGCGGTTATAGCATCCCCGTTATCGGGCTACTGTTAGGGGTTGCACGGTCTTGTGCTGTGGTCACACGGCGAGATGAATTAATATCGCCCGATGTGCTTACTGTTGGGTTTCTCTGCGACTCGTATCTCGTGAGAACTGTATTCCCCTCCTCCGTTTAGCACAGAATTGGTTTCATAAAATATCTACTGAATGAGTACATCTATTTATAATATGCGACATCAGTTTATGGACCTCTTCCTTGTGTTTTTGTGTCTATTTCTTCGTTACTTTTTTAGTAGATAAAAAAAAAAATTGGGTACTCCTGTTTAACTGCTGCTTAAGGCTAATATCTAGTATCTAATCAGCCAACTACATGGTAGCAAATGATGTAAAGAAAGATGAAGCTGTCAGGCAGGAGGCGAAGAGAAAGACCACAATTATGGATATATGGAAGGAGAGCGGAAGAGGATGCAAGAGATCGTCTATGGAGGCAGATCTGCTGTTACATTCCTAAAGGCAGTTCTCTCAAAATGACCTGATGATGACAGAGTTCATAAGCAAATGAGCAGACTCCTTTGAGCTGATGAGAAGATAACAGTAACTACTACTCATTACCACCAAGGTATGCAGAAAAACACATCTTCTGCAAGTTTCAAACAACATCGCAAACCTTGAAGCAGGTGAGGTACAGCAGCTAAGAACAGGAAAATTAGGTTACAGTTCACATGAGCCCACCAAAATTGCACCATAGACACTGAGATAGTAGGGTCAGAATTTGTAAACGACATGAAAGCATTGATCCACCCTCCCCATCTTGTACCAAATGGGCAACATTTAAATGCTGCATCCTCCCTGAGTATTGTAGCTGACTATATCCATGACTCTAAGCACAGTCTATCCTTGTTCTCGTGGCTAGTTCCAGCAGAATAATGCGCCATGTCAAAAGCTCAGATCAACTCAAACTGTTTGTTTGATCGTGGCAATGAAGCCACTGTACTCAAATGGCCTTCACAGTCACCACTGTGATTTGGTGTAACGGGTGGTGCAGATCTGCTGCAACTGTGTGATGCTGTCATGTCAGTATGAACCAACATATTTATCTAACTCATGGCTAGGAAGGTGTACCCAATAAAATGGCAAGGAATGTGTATATTATATTGTTGTTGTTGTTTTTTTAATTTTCTCTTTGGGGATTTTGTCCAGCAACTGAAGCAGCAGAGAGACAAGCTGAAGCAGTACCAAAAGAGAATCACCTTGCAGCTGGAGAAAGAGCGACGTCTAGCAAAGCAGCTGCTACAAGATGGCAAGAAGGAGTAAGCACAAGTCTTGATCTTACACAATATCTACCAGCATGTAGTTACACTACTGTGAATACTGGCAACAATGTAAACAAATGAGGTTTACTTAAATATGGATAATGCTACTTAAAATTTCCCAAGTTAATGACTCCTGCACAGAGTCCGTTTTCTCTTTTGTAATTCAATTTACTTTATTCGGCATGCAGCGGTACACACTGTATTCGTACTGTAAACAAAAGATATTCTTTGCAATATGATGCTTTGTGTTTTCATTTGTTATTGCAGAAAGGCGCTGTTGCTTCTTAAGAAAAAACGATACCAGGATCAGTTACTAGAAAAGACCGAAAATCAGAT